GAGAGAGAGAGAGAGAGAGAGAGAGAGAGAGAGAGAGAGAGAGAGAGAGAGAGAGAGAGAGAGAGAGAGAGCGCTTGGGCACGTTCGAGAGACTGTGGATTTGGGCTTTCGTAGAGAAGAAAGGATGAGCCACAGCAGGAGCACCTGAACGCGAGTGCCACGAGAGGATCGAGCAACCTCTGAAACGTGGGCCCATCTCGATCGCTGCACTGCCTAGGTGACGTCGCCCGTACCCGGCCATGGCAGATTTCGCTTCGATAATCATGACAAGGTTGATTTCTGCGGTGTTGCTGTTCTCGTCATCATCCCAACTTCCCGCCAAGCTGTCATGGAGCATGTCGCATGTCGTTGCGGCGGCGCGCAAACCTGGCGAGAGCGAGTCCCGCGTAGCGCACCCACGGCGCAAACTTGAAACGGACGCATCATCAGTAAATCGAACGTCTGTAAATATTACCCGCCCCAATCTCCTAACTCGCAGAGCACAGTATGTCGTCAACTTCATCGCCCCCAAGAATCTGAGCCTGCTGGCGTCTGGCAATTCAATTATTCGGATCCGTTCCCCCCACAATCGGGCGATGGCATTCAGCGCTTGCTGTTATCTCCCAAGGATCAAACTCTGTTTATCGTTTGGGAGAGTGTGGTTTGGAGGATGAGCACCAAGCAGCCGAATAAGTCTGAGGCTAACGCGACAGCGTTATTCAGATTAGGAACTTACAACCTTGATTCCACATGGGCCAACTTTTCGATTTCGGGGAATGGTATCGCATACGGCATGGCGCTCCACGATCCTGAGTCGGAGGGAACAGGAGCACAAGTCTTGGCGGGAAACCACACGTTGCGCACGAGAATACTGCACGTGTGTGACTTGGACATGAAGACCATGAGAACAGTATTTCGTGCCTTTTCCATTGACTCGAACGGAAGCTCGATGCATCAGCTCTACCCCCTCGATGCTCTACCCCCTCGATGATCAGGGTCCGATAAGTCAGATTTCCGTCGTCAATGATACGGCTGTGGCACTCGACTCCCCCACGATCACCAGCATGGTGGTTGATTCCCGTAGCAGGATTTTGCACGCCACTCAGGGTGCTGTCATTTACCGAGATAACTTGACTTACTCCGCAAAAGGACTCTTTGCTGTACAGGCCTGGGTCGGGCGCTTCCCGGCGTTGGACAGCCATATCGTCGACCGGTACGAAGACAATGCTGACCGCCGTCAAGTGCGATTCGGTTTTGCGATTTTAGACGCGTCCACCATCTCCCCCGACGGGAAAACCATTTACTTGGCCGATTGGGAGAATAACGTGATCCGCCGGATTTGGACGAGTACAGGTGCCGTAGATCATTTTGCCGGAGGCGATTCAGAAGCAGTTAACATGGACGGCCCGCCTCTGAAGTTTCCTTCTTATCACCCCAGAGCCTGGCTGTCACTCACGACGGCTGCAACGTCTTCGTCCTGGAGCCCCGGGTTAGCAACGCTGGCAATCTAACGAGGCTGCGGATGATTACCTTAAATAGCAGCTGGGGGGATGCAGTGTACGTGACCACCGTGGCAATGCTGAATTGCGAGGTCCGCGTGAGTCCCAGTGATGGGCTCTCGTTGGCCATTTCTCCAGACAGCAGCACATTATACGTCGCTTTGCCGACAGAGATTCTTGAGCTGGGCATTAACACATCGGCTCTGCCTCCTTGTGGCGCACATTCCGAGCAGCAGATCGAGTCCACGAGGGCTCGGCCTTCCTCGTCACCCAACGCCGCACCCTCCACGATCGCTCAGCCTTCATCCTCGTCGGCCAATGCCGCGCCTTCCGATCCGCAGCCTGATTCCACCATAGCCCGGCGTTCTTCGTCGGCCAACGTGCGTGTGATGGCAAGCGCCGGGGTGATCTTGCTACTTGTAGTCTCATGCGTGTTGTTTTCAATTGCTGTTATCCGACGGCGGAGAGGGCGATTCACGGGCAGGCGGGAGGGGGCTCCGCCGGAAGCGTCTATCACTGCTCCGTCGGAGGATGTCAAGGGGTCGGGGGGAAAGCGGCGGCCAGATGAGACCTCCCTGTGCAATGAGGGGAGGTCAGGGGTCGGCGAGGCGACGACGCCGGAACAATCACCTTTGATCTTGCGACCGACTTCCAGCTTGAAGAGGTACTCCCTGGAGAAGATCAGCAGAGCGTGCAAAGATTTCAGCCCCGAGCGTCTGGTGGGAAAGGGAGGTGCTGCGGAGGTGTACAAGGGAGTGCTCGGCGGCGGCCAGGTGGTGGCCGTCAAGATGATGAAGGGAGCGGAGTTCTTGAAAGCGACGAGGTTCCGTCAGTTCCAAGCCGAGCTGGACGTGCTCGGATCACTTCGCCATAGCCGGATCTGTGGCATTGTCGGATACTGTGCGGAGGAGGGCCAGTCGTTTCTCGTCTACCCGCTCGTGGAGGGAGGTACGCTCCACGAGCGCCTGCGATCGGCTGGGTGCGCCAGTGGGGAGCAAGCTGGCGTGTCCTCTGACGACATTCCGATGGCAGTATGTGCGCCTGGCAGAAGCCACCGTTGGACTGGAAGACCCGGCTGTCCATCGCTCGACAAATCGCAAGCGCCTGGAGTACCTGCACCAGCACGTGGACCCCCCCATCGTGCACCGGGATGTCAAGAGCAAGAACGTGTTGCTGGAGGATCACGGGGGGGGCGATCAGACTTCAATCAGGGCTTACCTCTCCGACTTCGGGCTGGCAAAGGTCGGCCAGAGCGTTTTCGGCAAGCGGCGGGCGGGCGAGACAGTGGAGACGTACCACGTGGCCGGAACCTTTGGGTACATGGCCCCGGAGTACTACAGCTCGTGCAGGCTGACGACTAAGAATGACGTGTATGCTTTCGGGGTCGTGCTGCTGGAGCTGATCACGGGCCGGCAGGCGTTCATGACGTCACCTTGTCACCACCAGCGGCGGAAGAAGTAAGAAGAGGATGAGGAGGGGAAAGAGCAGGAGGCGAAATTAACGAGGCCGGGGGAATTTGAGGATTGGGAGGAGGAACTAATGGAGTCAGGTCCCCGTACTCTGTCATACTGGGTACAGCGAAAACTCCGGGGAACAGAAGTGATCACCTCGGAGGACGAAGAAGATCAAGACAACACGCTCCGAACCTCGACAGCGGGAACCGAGAAAGGTACGAGCGTGAAAGCTGCCATGCTAATTGACAGGATCCGAGAGATTGCTGATGTACGGCTGATGGCTCTTGGCGCCGTGGATTGGAGTAGCGTTTGCGGGATGGCGAATCTTGCAATGCAGTGCATCAGAACCTCTCCCAGACAGCGACCGCGGATGGGGGTGGTCACGGATAGGCTGATTCAGCTGGAGCGCTCCATGTGCGTACGCGAGCAGGAGACAACGTGATCTCAACGTCAGAAGACAATCAGTAATGGGTACGACAAATCATTACATTCACGGACTATCAGGACTGAAGTGTGATTTTTCAATCTTGTCCTTTTGTTTCTAAAGCGAAATGTAGTATTCAGGCGAACTGCCCTTCCTTCCCTCCCCTGATCACAACGCCCGTTTGTTATACCTGTATCTGGCCTCGAACTTCCTCCCGGGAACACAACGCCCGCTTGTTATATCTGTATCTGGCCTGAAACCCGCGCTATAATCAGTGGTGGATATGTTCGGTGGTAGATGGCAGTCCTTGTCGTACACGGTGAGGATAACCAGTCCTTGTCGTACACGGTGAGGATAACCAGTCCTCGTCGTACACGGTGAGGATAAGCAGGCAACGTCCGCACGCGCGCCACATTGGTATCGGAGCGGAGTTTCAAACCTCTGCTCCCTCCCTCCCTCCCTCCCTCTCTTGCTATCCTACCATCAGGGATAGCCATTTCCAGGTTCATTTCTGCAGCTGCATCTGGTCTGTCAACGCGACCAGATACGTCTGCCATCCAAGCCGGCAACTTTCCAATGGTAACCTCGACGCCGGCGCTACTCTGTAGGCTGCTGTCCTCCTACAGACCGCCGACGCTAACCTGCTACCGCTTGTGTCCTGGCTGACCTTCGCCCGTGGCTCCTGCTGATTGCACGGCCAGGTGAAGTGTCTAGACTACGGCGAACCCGACAGTTTGCAGCTGCCAGTGCTGTGAGAAGTTCATCGAACCATATCATTTAGAGGGAGGAGTAACAAGGTTCCCATACATGAACCTGGCGAAGGATCATTGACACGTGCACGGCTGACCTTCCTGCCACGTCAGCCTATTATTTCCCCCTTCCCGTTCCCTTCTTCCCGACTTCCTCCCTGCCCGCTCGGTATTCAACTTTGGTCGAGCGATCTCCCCCGTCCCTGACCTCCACCCTGCTGCGTGCATCTTCGCTTCCTCCCCTGCTTGCGTTTCCCTTTCCCCCCGACTCTACCTCTCCCAATCGCAGCTCTTGACCACTCTAGCCCCCCCCCTCCCCCAGCCCCCCGTTGATTCTCTACTTCTCTCCCCCGCTGCGAACCTGATCCCAATCCTCCCCTCCCAATCCCTCCCCCATCGGGCGCACGTGCGTGCGCACTCCGATCCCCATCTTTCCCCCCATTTCCCCGAGTGCGTGGCCCCTTCCCCCAACTCTGACTTTCCCCGAACTTTCCCTCCCATTATCCCTCCCGCCTTACCCTCTTTCCCGACTCCACCCCTCCTGCCTTTCTCCCGTTA